TGCGTTCCGCAGCAGAGTGTCGAGTCGATTCCGTCTACATGTAGGACACGAACAGGGCCAACGTGATCATCTGGGAGCCCCCGACAACGGAACTGATAAAAACAAACAGGATATTATTACATTTTAATGTGTTTTATTCTTTATGGTTACCTCATTTGATTAAAATCAACTTTAATCAAGATGCATGTATCAATTTTATATAAAAAAATCAGTAAATTATAAAAAAAAAAATGGAATACTATTTTAGTGCATTGTATTACAATTTTTTTAAATTGAAAGTAGCTGTAAAATTGATAGGTATATACCAACCTCTGTCTTTTAAGCAGTTTGACAATGAAAACCACTTTATGATTTACGTTTTGGAGTTCTGGATCCTCCTTGTGGTGGAAGAGGTACCACTTTAAGATTTACCTGTTGGAGTTCTGGGTCCTCCTTGATGTGGTAGAGGTACCACTTTAAGATTTACCTGATGGAGTTCTGGGTCCTCCTTGTCGTGGTAGAGGTACCACTTTAAGATTTACCTGTTGGAGTTCTGGGTCCTCCTTGTGGTGGTAGAGGTTCCACTTTAAGATTTACCTGTTGGAGTTCTGGATCCTGCTTGTCATGGTAGAGGGTACCACTTTAAGATTTACCTGTTGGAGTTCTGGGTCCTACTTGTGGTGGTAGAGGTACCACTTTAAGATTTACCTGTTGGAGTTCTGGGTCCTCCTTGTTGTGGTAGAGGTACCACCTTAAGATTTACCTGTTGGAGTTATGGGTCTTCCTTGTTGTGGTAGAGATACCACTTTAAGATTAACCTGTTGGAGTTCTGGGTCCTCCTTGTGGTGGTAGAAGTACCATTTTAAGATTTACCTGTTGGAGTTCTGGGTCCTCCTTGTCATGTTAGAGGGTACCACTTTAAGATTTACCTGATGGAGTTCTGGATCTTCCTTGTCGTGGTAGAGGGTACCACTTCATGATTTACCTGTTGGAGTTCTGTATCCTCCTTGTTGTGGTAGAGGTACCACTTTAGGATTTACCCTCTGGAGTTCTGGGTCCTCCTTGTCATGGCAGAGGGTACCACTTTAAGACTTACCTGTTGGAGTTCTGGGTCCTCCTTGTGGTGGTAGAGGTTCCACTTTAAGATTTACCTGTTGGAGTTCTGGATCCTCCTTGTCGTGGTAGAGGTACCACTTTAAGATTTACCTGTTAGAGTTCTGGGTCCTCCTTGTGGTGGTAGAGGTTCCACTTTAAGATTTACCTGTTGGAGTTCTTCATCCTGCTTGTCATGGTAGAGGGTACCACTTTAAGATTTACTGTTGGAGTTCTGGATCCTCCTTGAGGTGGTAGAGGGTACCACTTTATGATTCACCTGTTGGAGATCTGGGTCCTCCTTATTGTGGTAGAGGTACCACCTTAAGATTTACCTGTTGGAGTTATGGGTCTTCCTTGTCGTGGTAGAGATACCACTTTGAGATTAACCTGTTGGAGTTCTGGATCCTGCTTGGCATGTAAGAGGTACCACTTTAAGATTTACCTGTTGGAGTGCTGGGTCCACCTTGATGTGGTAGAGGTATCACCTTAAGATTTACCTGTTGGAGTTCTGGGTCCTCCTTATGGTGGTAGAGGTACCACTTTAAGATTTACCTTCTGGAGTTCTAGGTCCTCCTTGTTGTGGAAGAGGTACCACTTTAAGATTTACCTGTTGGAGTTCTGTGTCCTCCTTGATGTGGTAGAGGTATCACTTTAAGATTTACCTGTTGGAGTTCTGGGTCCTCCTTATGGTGGTAGAGGTACCACTTTAAGATTTACCTTCTGGAGTTCTAGGTCCTCCTTGTTGTGGAAGAGGTACCACTTTAAGATTTACCTCTTGGAGTTCTGTGTCCTCCTTGATGTGGTACAGTGCTGCTATCCTATAAGTTGACAATTCTTTCCTATCCTATCGTGAATCCTGCATCCACAATCCTATCCTGTAATTTCAGTCTAATCCTATCCTATCCTATCCTGCAACTCTCAGTTTTTTAATATTTAGGAATTAAATTGACAAAACGAAAAAAAAAGGAATTACCAGAAAATAAAATAAAATCAGATATAGTTATGGTATTCATTTAAATGTAAGACATTTTAATGGAGAAAAATAATCGAGATCGGCATTCCCTAATTCCCGACTAACCGCTCAGCACAAATTAAATTTACGATTATCATAACCATGTTGAAAAATAATGTTAAACAAAAAGATCGTAATTACACGTGGACAAATACTGATTTTGCAAACATATGAAAAGAAATTGGCCTATCAGAAGAATTAAAGAAAAATATACTTTGTGTTTTAAATTTCTTACTTACAATATTCGCGAGACCCGGAATCGCGACTTGCGTCCAACGCGTAATATTTATTTATTTTAAAAAATCATATGCCTATATAGTAATAATGTTTAAGTATATGTTTCATGTAAAATTTTATTTTTTTCCTAAACTAAGCACCATGAAAATAACATGCATGTACATGAATTGTATAGATTTAGTCTAACTGTGCCTGTGTGACAGATTTTTCTGTATGCAATTCTGAAAGAAAATATATGACTAGACCAAACAGACAAGTCAAATGTAGATCTAGAATATCTTGACTTTCACATATCAAACATTTCAAATGTGAAATTGTCTTATAAAATCAATATTAATTGTATGATTTTTTTAAATTTAAACTCAGTAATTTATTTTTTTTTTTTTATTTCAGTTCATCATATATAATTGCATGTGATATTTTTAAATTATGCAAAATATATAGTTGCTAAATTCAAGATAATCTAATTGTTATTATTTTTCATTTCACTTCAGTTTCTCCTCATTTTATATGGTCAGCTCAACAACGTACAATTGTATTTCAGTTTTCAATTTTTTTTATGTGTGAAAATTTAATAATTTATGTTTAATAGAATATTTTTTTCTAAATTTGATATTGGTTGACAGATTGACCTTAATAAGTAAGGTCACACATGTTTCTAAGATCTTATAAAACATGCATGAGAAATTCAGAATTCCCATCTTTAACATGTATAACTCAGTCTTAAGTAAAACAAGTTTATATTTGACCTTTGATCTTGAATGTTAATCCGTGTTCAGTGTCAGATTGAGAAATATTAAAATGCTCCACACGTTCCTTTGATCTTACAAAACATGCATAAGAATTCACGGTACTTACAGCATTTATACCACATTCTTGAGTAAACTTTGTATTTGACCTTGACATTTGATCTTAAAATTTTCAGTTTTTAAATGAGGAAAAATACTTTATCAAGTTTACAATATTTTTATTCAAGGTGATTCCTAAACAATGTTTAACAACTGAATATTCCATTACCATGAGACAGTCATTAAAAGTATCCATGTACAGCATTTGTGAATTTCAATGCTAAGATCACAGATACATGCACATGAACTTTGTTTAAATTAAAGTTTATCAATGTTTTATTACACTTGTATAATGTTTCACATGTATAGAATTTGGCTTTCTTAACCGTCGCTCAAATTGAAATTCAAATGTCAGAGTTATTGTCAGAGAGATGGTCATAAACCGAACAGTTCTTCAAATGTCAACAATGCACAGAAAACACACTGATCTCCTTAGTAAAAACACCATGATTTCAGACTTAGGACTCTGTGGCACTGGTTTGAACATCTTTCATCATTTACACTAACAGCATATGGCATGAACTGCATTCTGTACAACTGTAAATGTCCAGGGTTTCCTGAAAAAAAAATAAATGATATTATAGACATGTTGATTGTAAATTTTGTCATAAACATTTCATACACATTTAACATGTTTAAAATGTTTTGGATTGTGACTATCTTTCACATTTCATGTACAATTTCACCTTTTTCTCTCCCAAAAGTAATACATTTAGAAATCATGAAAAATAAAATCTTTTACTGCAACCTCAGTCACATAAAAGAAAAAAAATATTCAACATAATTTACTTGTAGATTATAATTCATTTTATCTTGTCAACTTTCTAACATTAGTATGAATACATTTGTTTTAGTGACTTTTCTCTATTTCTGCTTGTTTTTATCTATTTAATGTTTTTTCTTGTTTTTTTTTTTTTTTGGTCTTGAAATTTGAATATGAAAATCTATGATACTATAACATGATGACCAGAAAAATTCAACATTTCCTTTAGTTTTACTCTCAATATTTTTGAAAGAAAAAAATCAATTGTTCCGAGTAACTGCAGACATGTCACTTCAACTCAGATAATGATGTTTATGTATTTAAATGACCATGTAAAAATACATGATAAAAATAAAATCATACATACTTTTTAGGTTGAAATCCTTGTACTGCGATGACGCATGAGTGCAGACAATCCATTTTCTGTAATGAATAAAATGCCAAGATTAACTTATGTTTCATAACTCACACTACATCAAACATACATGCACAATATGTAAGTGCACTGCTTAGTGAGCTCATTAAAATTTAAGCAGAAGCATAAGGAATGTTCATGATGATTCTACATTCATTTATCAATTATTAATTACACAGAAATAAAAAAAAAACTATTTTCTGACCTTATTAGGGAAATGATAAGAGTACATGTAACAACCTGATTTAGGCATATTTACATATGATTGTTTTAGTCTTAGAGCTCATTGAAACTTGATATCTGATTGAATCATAAGACAGAGTATTTGTAAATATTAACACCCCCTCCCCCCGCACTTCTGTCTACACTACTCCGTTTTCTCGCACCCGATTTTTGTTTATATTAATAAAAAGAATAAAATGTTTATATTTTAGGACATGAGAACACTGTTTAAAGCGATAAATATGTATAAAAATGCACACATACTGTGTGCAGTGTGAAGTATACTTATATGATATAGCACATCATCTATTCAAGTCCGCTGCTGACGGTTCCTGTGGAATTATCCAAACAAACAGAGCATATTTAACAGAAAAACATGTTAATACACTTTTACACAAGTAAGAATCGGTTAAATCATCCAAACAATCTGAAGAAATACTGTCTTTCGATGCCTGGGCTCTTCGTTGTTTACATTCCCAAATCTTCCGGTGATCGTTCACGGTTAGATCGTACGCCGTGTTACTCGAACTTTATAATGTAAATATGTGTTTAGAGAAAAGAATGTTTTATTTTCTTTTGAAAAAATTATAAATATTTCTTTTGTAAACATTTTATACCGTATTTCGTTTTTGTAATTTATTCTGAAATATGAATTAACCTTTGCTCGAATCTGATTGGCTGTAGGATACAGGATAGGATAGGATAGGATAGGATTGGATTAAGTTCTAAATGTTTCTATCGTGAATCCTCAATCCTGAATCCTATCCGATCCTATCCTAGTCAACTTGTGGGATAGCAGCACTGTAGAGGTATCACTTTAAGATTTACCTGTTGGAGTTCTGGGTCATTCTTGTTGTGGTAGACGTACCAGTTTTAGATTAACCTGTTAGAGTTCTGGATCCTCCTTGTTGTGGTAGAGGTACCACTTTTAGATTTACCTGTTGGAGTTCTGGGTCCTCCTTGTCGTGGTAGAGGTACCACCTTAAGATTTACCTTTTGAAGTTCTGGGTCCTCTTTGTCATGGTAGAGGTACCACCTTAAGATTTACCTGTTGGAGTTCTGGGTCCTCCTTGTTGTGGTAGAGGTACCACTTTTAGATTTACCTATTGGAGTTCTGGGTCCTCCTTGTCGTGGTAGAGGTACCACCTTAAGATTTACCTGTTGGAGTTCTGGGTCCTCCTTGTTGTGGTAGAGGTACCACTGTAAGATTTACCTGTTGGAGTTCCGGGTCCTCCTTGTGGTGGTAGAGGTACCACTTTAAGATTTACCTGTTGGAGATCTGGGTCCTCCTTGTTGTAATAGAGGTATCAGTTTTAAGATTTACCTGTTGGAGTTCTGCGTCCTCCTTGTCATGGTAGAGGTACCACCTTAAGATTTACCTGCTGGAGTTATGGGTCTTCCTTGTCGTGGTAATGGTATCACTTTAAGATTTACCTGTTGGAGTTCTGGGTCCTCCTTGTCATGGTAGAGGGTACCACTTTAAGACTTACCTGTTGGAGTTCTGGGTCCTCCTTGTGGTGGTAGAGGTTCCACTTTAAGATTTACCTGTTGGAGTTCTGGATCCTCCTTGTCGTGGTAGAGGTACCACTTTAAGATTTACCTGTTGCAGTTCTGGGTCCTCCTTGTGATGGTAGAGGTTCCACTTTAAGATTTACCTGTTGGAGTTCTTCATCCTGCTTGTCATGGTAGAGGGTACCACTTTAAGATTTACTGTTGGAGTTCTGGATCCTCCTTGTGGTGGTAGAGGGTACCACTTTATGATTCACCTGTTGGAGATCTGGGTCCTCCTTATTGTGGTAGAGGTACCACCTTAAGATTTACCTGTTGGAGTTATGGGTCTTCCTTGTCGTGGTAGAGATACCACTTTAAGATTAACCTGTTGGAGTTCTGGATCCTGCTTGGCGTGTAAGAGGTACCACTTTTTTTAATTAGATTTACCTGTTGGAGTACTGGGTCCACCTTGATGTGGTAGAGGTATCACCTTAAGATTTACCTGTTGGAGTTCTGGGTCCTCCTTATGGTGGTAGAGGTACCACTTTAAGATTTACCTGTTGGAGTTCTGTGTCCTCCTTGATGTGGTAGAGGTATCACTTTAAGATTTACCTGTTGGAGTTCTGGGTCCTCCTTGTTGTGGTAGACGTACCAGTTTTAGATTAACCTGTTGGAGTTCTGGGTCCTCCTTGTTGTGGTAGAGGTACCACTTTTAGATTTACCTGTTGGAGTTCTGGGTCCTCCTTGTCGTGGTAGAGGTACCACCTTAAGATTTACCTTTTGGAGTTCTGGGTCCTCTTTGTCATGGTAGAGGTACCACCTTAAGATTTACCTGTTGGAGTTTTGGGTCCTCCTTGTTGTGGTAGAGGTACCACTTTTAGATTTACCTGTTGGAGTTCTGGGTCCTCCTTGTCCTGGTAGAGGTACCACCTTAAGATTTACCTGTTGCAGTTCTGGGTCCTCTTTGTCAAGATAGAGGTACCACTTAAGATTTACCTGTTGGAGTTCTGGGTCCTCCTTGTCGTGGTAGAGGTGTGGTGTGACTGGGATACTGGCCAGTATCTTCTCATTCACTGTGTCCTCCAGGTCTGCCACCTGCTGGTCAGTCAGGGACGGAATGTCTAACTCGATTGACGATATGTTTTCTCCGAGACACCTTAATAATAAAATATATGAACCTCACACCTTATTAGTTTCTTATGAATTACATATTTTTATCAACAACTCAATGAACTTTGAACTCAGCTTAATTACAACCACTTCAGATGGCAATCTTTTTTTAAACTGAGGTGAAATACGGCTTTTCAGCTTCACTTTCTTTCAAAGGCATAAATTGTACTTGATTGCTTGACTGGATAATTATATCCTCAATCAAATCTTAAAAATTACTAGTGATTAAATCTAGAATTTTTTTCATTCAATTTACTTCTCACCATGATGTGGTGGGACATCCATACATGCTTTCTGCTATGGCTGTTATCAAGTGCTGTCCTGAAAATTGTTCAAAAATTTCCTACGATAACTTTTTATACTTATAAATTGAAAAATGTGTTTAAAAAATGTTTAAGATGTGTAACAACATTTTAATACATGCATATATCTGAGAAGGGTATGTATTTTACCAATAAGTTGAGCTTGGTCATCTAAATATTGTGGATCAACAACTATGTCCAATGATTGAACAGACACCAAATAATGATATGTATGAGTAACCTGTATGTTGCTGCATGTGGTCAAACCTCCTCTTCCAGTCCACTTTGAGACATACTTCTGTACCAGCCTGTATCTCCTTAGTGACGAAATTGACAGCATCTGCTCCTCGTCTTGTGATGCGTAAAACCTCCACGTCATTGATCTAAAACGAGGGGATTAAACACGTAACAGTACATGTATTAATTACATAATGTGCTGGCACCTCAATGTATTTTGTGAATGAGTTCCATCATTTACTACCTCTACAGTACTCTATGTAATTGCTGACATTAGTGAGATAATTATCATATTAAGATATTGAGAATGTAGAACGATTTACATCTTCCCATAATAAAGTGAAAATAACCATTAACACACTGTACATCCTTGAACACACCACACAATTAAGTACAAACATTATCAGAATTGTATACACCAGGCTAAACCCTCTGCAAATAATTTTATATTTAATGCCTCAACACAGATGAACCAAGAGAGTTCAAATGAAATTCTACTTACTGTGCCTCTGTCATCTGGCTGAAAAAGAACAAACATATATTAACTTTAAAAAATTCCTAATTTTAAGGATGTCAATTGGTCCTCTGAACAAAGGTGTGAATGAGATTTATTTTACAATTTTAAATCAATAAATTGGCTCGTATATGACTGACTTCAGCTTGGTCTGTACCTGTCCACCCCCCTCTGGGAACAGTATGGTATCTTCTAGAATCACCTCGAACCCCTTCAGCTTTTCCTTCTTACTTTTACCCGGTAATTCTGCAGGTGTGCAACTCTTCACCTTTGTCTGAAACTAAAAAGGGATTAAATTTCCTTTAATCATCAATTTAAAAAGTTTCTGAATTTTGTGTTTCTTGAAATACCTGTGAAGAGAAACATACAAATTTAGATGGTTATCAATCATTCTAAGATAATGCCATCAACATTTAATGTAACAGAACAAATAGGCAAGTAATAATGGAACTAACTGTACTGTACATCTTTCATACAGAAACATTGATGAAATATATTTAATTCATCATAGATATGCACACTGAACATAAAGAGTTACATGGAATTTGCAACTTCAACCTAAAAGAAAATTAAAAATAGAGACTTTCAAATTTAAATGTAGAAAAATGAATATTACAGCAAGATATGCCCACCGTTTAAGGAGGTTATTTTAATGGGATATTCATGGAAATCTATTTTAATGGGATATTCATGGAAATCTATTTTAATGGGATATTCATGGAAATCTAAAGAGCAGTTGAAAGTTAATTCATACATGTTAACTCTTCCGATTTAGGCGGGAGTCTACCGCTTTTTCACTCCATCTCCCGCCTACCGATTTAATTCAGAAATCTACCGCTTTTCTACAAAAGCTGCGTCTAAAGTATTTTTGGTCCGCTTGGGTATCCATTTTTGAAGCCACTCTCATAAAATCTCGCTAGATATCGCGCGGTGCGTCGATTTACCCAAAAGGACCCAAAAGGACCCAAAAGAACCCAAAAGGACCCAAAAGGAACCCAAAAGGACCCAAAAGGAACCCAAAAGGACCCAAAAGGAAATTAAGAACGACCCAAAAGGACTTGAAATAAAGAGAATAAATGGATATATAATAAATACTTTCATATTTTATTAAAACTAAAACTAGTTTTTTGAGGGTAAAGTGTGTGTTTGGGGTGGGGATGAAAGGTCCCCCCAGCCCCCACCCCCCACCCAGCCCCGATACCATATGCCTAGAACATGTCATTAAATAAAACTAATTTCTTTATTTATCAAATACCATATAGTAAGATATGGTAAAACAGAAGGAGAAATAGAATGATACAGTGTACTTTGTTAATTTCAGCTAAAAGAAATCAAAGCATATCTGACCAGATTTAGTGTTTGATGTGTTATAAAAGTCGTATGTTATTTCTTTAAGAAAAGTTGCAACATATTTAAATGTATGTTTTTGCCAACTTTTAAGTAAATTTATAATATAATATTTATAATTTAATTCAAATAATTAATTTTCAATGTATTATAATATATTAATTTGAGTCCTTTTGGGTCCTTTTGGGTTCCTTTTGGGTCCTTTTGGGTTCCTTTTGGGTCCTTTTGGGTTCTTTTGGGTCCTTTTGGGTCCTTTTGGGTAAATCGACGCACCCGATATCGCGTGATTTGACTCGGAATCATACAAACGCTTTTTTTGTACATAGATTTCAAGCACGGATTTGACAACGACAACAACATAAGACTACCAGTGATTACATTGGTTACGATAAATTAATCAACATCCCTGCCATGAAAAAGGAGATACAGCTTTTAAGAATTAGATGAAAACATTTGACATCGTCTTTAAAAGCACAGAAGCTCACAACTTTATCAATAAAGTCAATAGAAATCACTCGATTGACCAAGTCATGTGGCACATCTCTACTTTCGTTTTCGATCATCGCGGGAAATCTGATTTATATAACGAAAGATACGAACTTGTTTTAGATCTAGATTAAACCATGCCATCATTTGTTTTGTTTAAAAACTGAATGAACATTCAGAATTATTGCTTCTAGGCTATTTCAGCAAAGATCACTCTTCAAAAGGCTAAGTAAAGCAGCCAATCCAAGCAAAATGATGAGCATGAAAAATATTTGAATTTGTACAATTTATGTCAAACTGAAGGTGTTTCTGTCTTCTTCTTTGCTGTTGATATTTAAGATTAATTAGTGTAGGTACCTGATTTCATTTAAGGCTTATAATATACATTTATATTACATGAAAGATATCGACAATCCAAGCGTTTAACAACACGCGCGCAATGCTACCACTTTTGAGGTCTGAATCTCCCTCTTTTTCATCACAATAGGTTAACATGTATGGTTAATTTCTCAATATTAAAACCACTAGACAATATGGAATTTGTTTTCAACTGGACCATGTAGACACAAAAAATACTTTTTTTGATTCATCAAGCAAGTAATTCAGTAATTACAGACAGCTAGAGGTTTGTTTAAGAAGTTCATCAGAAATTTCACATGGAAAATTACCATACTGTTATGATTGCATGACGAATCCCCCCATTTGAGGCCCATGCAAAATGAGCAATTGCTTTATTTTTCTAAAAAAAAATTGGATTTGAATAAAAAAAGAAAAACCATTTTAGACTTATTTTCTGATGTGGACAGCTGACAACCAACAGGAGGATGAGCAACTATTTAGCAGGCTGTGCCCAATCTGATAAAGCTTGCTAAAGAGATTGTGCAGCACCTGATGCAAGGTTGTTCCATATACATGTACTTTCATTGTCTTAATGGTGTTTTGCTGAACCACTGAATGGCATATGTTACAGTCCCTGAAACGTTCTACTTTCCCATTTTTCCGTTCGTTCAGCGTGTGTTCACCGTTCGCTCTTCGTTCACAGTATTGCGTTCACCATTCACCGTGCGCTCGCATTCACTGTTCACAAAACGTTCACCGTTCGCTCTTCGTTTCGTTTACTTTGCGTTCACCTTGCGTTCACCGTTCACTTATCGTTCAGTCTTCATTGTCATTCGGAACTCCGAAGTGAAAGGACCTATGATATCTTTTTGATGGTAAGGATTTACATGTTTTTTAATTAAATAACTTAAATATCGTGTTTGAAGAATAATTATTTCATTGCAAAAATTATCTATGATATTTATATTTCTATTATTATAACTCAGCTGTTACTTATTTCATGAATTTTCCCTGGAAAATAATTAATACATTAAGTACCTACATGTATGTAGAACGATGCTAAAATATTAAATTCAAAAAAGGGCAATGTACAAATGCTTCACGCACGGCATCAATTTGATGTAATTTTAAAGAGGACAAATTATTAATGGATGTATAAAAATTAATCCAAGTCTTTTACAGGACAAGAATACATAAAAAAAAAATATTTCTACACGTATTTAAACTACCTGTAGGTTTGAAAATTATTAACAGTACTGCAAATATTCAGTTAATTAAATATCTTTAGAGCTAATTAAATTGATGGTGTGGTTTTAAATTTTAGAAAAGACCAACTGTTTAAAATAGTCTATTATTAGAGAAGAAAAATTCCTTCCTTCACCGTACCTAAACATATGTTTAAAAATATGTTTTTTACTATTTAGTATAATTAAGACCCCCCTCCCCCGGTGCCTTTTCTCCCGAATTAAAATTCTTACTGAGTTTTTTTCAGTATATTTTAATTTATATTTAATTTTTATTGTAACACAAGAAAATCAGTCTTAAAACCAACATCAAACAGTCATTAAACAATAGAATTTTAGTACAAACTTGTGCCGACAGTAGTATTTTAAATTGGCAGGGAATATGTTTCACATTCAATTTAAAACTTAATCCTTCCAAGTATATATTCGAATTATTTTTTTTTCTGCAGGAATGCAAAAATCAGATCTAGAAATGATTGGGAAAAACATGAAAAATTCTTGGAACACTAATTGACTCTTTGCCTTCGGCATGTTCGGTGAAACGCGATTTCCACACCTCCACTGTGTCGAATTATTTTGATTGACAGCACAAGCACGCTACTACAAATGTAGCACGGACTTCCTGTGAACTGTGTGAACTTGATGATGGAAAATAAAAGCCAATGATTACTGTCAAATGGATTTGTTAATCTAAAAAAAACAATTACCTTTATTGCTTGGAATATTTAGGAAAAATAATTAGAATTTTTATTTGATACAACATATATCTGAGAATCGAGGGGGTTATCTCTCTCTCTTCTCTCTCTCTCTCTCTCTCTCTCTCTCTCTCTCTCTCGTACATTTCTCTGTTCAATAAAAACTATGACAACACATTACTTATTTAGTTTTGAAAATTTAATCTACACATGTATTACAAATAATTTGAATGCCTCTTTCTAACATATTGACCGAGTATAATCACGGCCGGGAAATGTCTACAGATACATGAAGAAGTTAGCTAAAATAATCGTCATAAAAGAATAAAAAGGCACATAAATATAGAATATTTTGCAGTAGAATCTAAATAAAATGAGAATTTTTATGCAGTATGGTAACAGTCAATGTCAACAGATAATTGTGAATTTAAAAAAAAATCCGTTATTTTACTCAGAATCGCTTTGGCACGGAAATACATGTACGGTTGTTTCAACCCCGTACAATGTAATTAATTCATTTTATAAGTAGTTGTTTTATCTTCAGAAGTCCACATTATTTTATTAGTGAAAAGAATAAGCATAATTATTTACTATATAAGTAGATTACGTTTGACGGCGATTAAAATCATGTTATTAAAATATCGATTTAAACATAAGTATGTGCAGAAAAAAAATGTTTTTATTTATTTATTTATCTATTTATCTATTGTTTATCTCAGTAGTAGTTTTATCTTCAAAAGTCCACATTATTTTATTAGTTAAAAGAATAAACATAATTATTTACTATAATATAAGATCAATTTTTTTTTAACTACACGCGGTAACAAATTCACGTTTGACGGCGATTAAAATCATGTTATTAAAGTATCGATTTAAACATACATATGTGTAGAATTTTTTTTATTATTCATTTTACTTATTTATTTATCTATTTATTTCTCTTTTGTTTATCTATTGTGTATTTATATTTATTTTTGACATTTGAATTTTAGAATAAAAGAATAATTTCAATACAAGGAAAAGACCGAAGGCATTCCGAATAAATCGTTCATCTTGCGTTCACCGTTCGTTCACCGTTCACTTTGCGCTCGTGTTCCCACTCCGTTCGCGTTCTGCGTTCACTCACCATTCACACATAGTTCACCAAGTTGCGTTCACCGTTCGCACAT